TCCTGGACATTGTGGTGGATCAAAGGCACGTTTTTCCAACGTAGCATATCGAAAAAAAGAAATTGCTCCAATCAGGTTTGTAATGCCAAATGTATCATATTTGATTCATACGGTTTCTGAAATGTTTTGTGTCTGACACAAAACTGAAGGGAAAATGACATATCCGAATATAAAAAAGCCACGTCCTGGACATTGTAATTTGGCATTACAGGGTTAAAGTTAGAAACGGGTCGTGTTTTTCCAGGGGAAGCTGTGAGTGATTACTGTTCATTGGAAGGGGCGGCCCTTTAATTAGCCCCAGGTCCCCGGGGGGCCATCACCTCGGGGGAGTCTTGCCCCTCTTTATTAGCCCATTTTAATATTGACAAAGAAAAGAGATACACACACGGGCCGGGGCCATTTGGGTTTCTCAGATGGGACACCAGCTCCCGTGAATATGTGAATATGCATGGAGGGGTGATGGACGACTCGGGGATCATCTGGATCACAACAAAGGGGTTCAAAGGGAGGGGGGGGGCAAAAATAACAGGAGAAAATAACAGGAGATGGAGTCTGGAAATGATTGTGTTCCATGAGGACTAAACTAAAGGCTCAGAGATACTGAGATGAGGCTATTTTAGAAGTTAAGGATGGAGATCCAACTCCGCCCACATCCAAGTCGGCCATTTTGATTAGGTCACCAATAGGAAGATCCCAGGCAAGAGAATCGGAATTGCTTCATGGGAATATAGACATTATTTTAAAAATAGTGAAATTAATCTTGCAAACACTGAATTAAACTCTATCCATAATATTATGTTAAAATAGTGGATGTTAAACAGGTTTGTACAATAAGTCCAAACAAGTTTAACCAAAAAACATTTATTTCTCACAATTATGAAAAATGGAGGGTTAGGGTTAGGTTCAGGTTTAGGGTTAGGGTTAGGGTCAGGGTTAGCTTTAGGGTTAGGTTTAGGGTTAGGGTCAGGGTTAGGGTTAGGTTTAGGGTCAGGGTTAGGTTTAGGGTTAGGATTAGGGTTACAGTTAGGTTTAGGGTTAGGCTCATGGTTAGGTTTGGGTTTTGGGTTAGGGTCAGGGTCAGGGTTAAGGTTAGGGTTAGGACATAATTTGTCTTCCGATTTCGACAGCAAAGTTTCGTTTCCACCTCAGAAAGCTGCTAGTCACATGACCTAATCAAAATGTCCGACTTGGACGTAGGAGGAGTTGTATCTCCATCCTTGGTTCCTACAGACTGCAGCCAGAGGCTATTGGTCCTATTTTGGGTGCCTAAATGCCTTCAGATGACCTTTATCTTCCTCACTGACTATAAAACATGATATGATGATATCTGGCTAAATAGTGATCCTCGTCTCCTCTAGTCCAGTGTTTTTCAACCACTGTGCCTCGGTACACTAGTGTGCCGCGAGTGCTGGTCAGGTGTGCGGTAGAAAATCATCCTATTTCACCTAATTGGTCTAAAAAGATTTTTTGATCAGGAATTAATTATCTGCAAATAATATGCCATTTTTGAATGCCTGTGCTGTTCTAGTGACTGGTGGCGTAATCATGTAATAATTCCTTATGACTAGATTTTGTATATAATTTTGTATATTGAAGTGGACATGTTAAGTGCAATTTGAAAGAAGAAATATAAAATATGATAAAAATACATTTTTGTGTTTATTTGAATCCTATTCAAGACACTTAAGATAAGATAAGAATAACTATAGTGTTACTATAGGCGGCTACAGATATGTTTAACATTTTTGGTTGGTGGTGTGCCTCGTGATTTCTTTCAATGAAAAAATGTACCTTGGCTCAAAAAAGGTTAAAAAAAACACTGCTCTAGTTAGATGGAGAATCCACCAGAGAGAAGATACCGAGTCCTTCCAAGGACAGACTCGACATCCTCCAGCTTCTCCCCAGCGTGCCTTTGAAGGGTATTTTATCTCATTTACAGAGGATTTCCATCGGTTTCAATTGTTTCCTGACTCAGCTGCTCATTTGAAACGATGTCAGTAGAAGCTGAGCATCACCAGATCGGGTTTTAGTCGTTTCGTGGAACGGGGAGATTAAGGAATGACGGCATCAACCTTGGAAAGACCCGAGAAACAACTTCCAGCTCTTAAGTGGCTTCGATGGTGAATCGGGACGCTCGAAATCCCCCAGAATGCAATTACAGGAGGGGATTATGTCCCTTATTCAAGCTCAAATTGAGCACAGGGTGTGTTTAAGTGTATGTTTTTGTGCATAAAACAGTGAGGCGGATTGCGGCGGGCAGCTGATCCCCTCTTAAGGTTTAAACCTCATCCTGTGACATGATGCTGAAAAATAGAGTGAGATGTAAAAAACAGATTCAGATTTTAGATTAGCGGTTGCTGTCAAATGAGCTTTTGATGGAGGATATTAAGAGAAAATCCAGTTTTCCTTGGCTGAATAAACTCAGAAAAACTCCACCTTGTTAAGGACATGAATTCTGAATAGAGACAAACATACAAAATAACTAAAATCATCATCTGTGAGACGGGGGGTGAACCAACTGAGGCAATAGACTGGGATATGTTAGAATTGGGCTATAATTACTCACTTTAGAACAGTATGTTATAACTTAATCCATGTCAATGACTGATTGTCTTATTCCTTTATCGGGCAAGTGACTGTTTTTGGTCATTTCCGCACATGTTAGTTATAATAAAACATTTTTAAAAATGTCACAAATGTAATAAAGTCTTATTATGTCATCACATAACACTCTAATGTTGAATTTTTGAATTTTAAAGTATTTCATTGAGTGCCCAATAAAGGGTTTTTCCTTTTTAGATTGATATTATTCCCTTTATAATCATACTTTTGGGTTAAACTCTCTGGCTGTGCCTCCTCCTCCTCTCTCTGTTACAGTAGATACTCGTCTTTAAGGACAAAATCCACACTTTCTTATCACATTCCACCAAAACCTGCATGAATTAGGACCTGGCCTGTTCATGTCAGAGCTAACTGGCCAATAACACTCATCCATCGCACCTGGAAATCGAGTCTCTTGCCAACTGAAATCCTCCGGGAGCTTTGTCTGTTAGAGCCCGGCTGATTTACTTTGCTTGTGACCAATAAATGTCGTAAATGGCTAACAGAGCTGCCCCTCGGGATGATGCTGAACAAACATGGAGGCTCCTCTTCTGGCTGCTCTCTTAAAGTTGGATGAGAGGATTTGAGATATTCTGGGGCATCTTCAGACTCCTTTAGTCAAACCCAGGTTGAGTTTAATGTCACAGGACACTGTTTTGTTTCAGAAACTGAAGGGAAAATGACATATCTGAATATAAAAAAGCCATGTCCTGGACATCATGTGGGATCAAAGGCACGTTTTTCCAACGTGGCATATCGAAGAGAAGAAGAAATCCCTCAGAAATCGATTGGTCCAATCAGGTTCGTGGCATCTCTTTCTTCCTTTGTTCCTTTCTTAACCCTGTAATGCCAAATGTATCATATTTGATACATACAGTTTCTGAAAAGTTTTAATTGTAAAAAATTTCCTCAAAATCCTATTGTACACAATCAGATACACCTGATAACAGGGGGCAGAAGACTACACAAAAAATAATCTTGACTTATCGCATAGTAATAAATGATCAATATCAAAAATGCATTTCTGTTTTTTCTTTTTACATATTTTGTTAAAAAGCCAAATAAGGAATTCAAAAAAATATATATATTTTCTGTTTTTTTTTTATTCTTGGATAGGGCTTTAAAGGGTTAAAAGACATGTCCTGGACATGTCTTTTAACACATTTTTCCAACGTAACATATCGAAGAGGAGAAGATCTGCCTAAGAAATCGATCACTCCAATCAGATTCTTGGCATCTCTCGTGGTTTAATAGTTACCGACACAGAAAAAAACAGCCTTTCCCAGCTGCCATTG